TTTGACTTCCTGCTTTGAATTGGTATCTCCATATATACAATAGATATGAATCTGGGGGTCGGTGGAAGGCTGGTTAAACCGTTTGGTTTTCGACCACTACGACCCGGGTTCGATTCCCGCATTGGACACTTTTTTCTGTTTAAAAAAAATTTTTTTTAATGCTCCAATGGCCCCCCCCAATTCTTGCAAAAGTCCAACCCCACCAGCGAGTGCAAGTAACCAAACGGGGCTCTGGCACATTTGTAAGTGCAAAGTCAAACTGCTTTTCACATGTGTAGACATGTGGTGCGCTTACAGTAAAAAAGCAATTGCTAACTACCCACCATGATTATCATGGCCTGTACCACGTGTACTAGGGATAAGCAAAAAAAAAAGATATGAATCTCCTGCATATAATTTGAAATAATGCAACAGTTTTTTCTGGAGATAAGTTTCTTTTCATTTTATTTGCATATTTTCAAGCTTTCAGGCATATTTCAGGCATCATGAACCATGGCTATAGCGAGCCAAAGGTTTGGTCCAATCATTGTTAACTATAGAAGAGTTTTACTGTACATTCATAGTGATATCCCGGTCTCCTCTAATGTGTCAGATTTAGAAATTTACCTCATTGTCTTTTTCCTATATTTTTTGCATATCTTAATTGTAATCATAGTTGTATTTTTGTTTCTCTTTGTCTATAAGAAAATAATGTAAATATTCTGAAAAAAATGTAAATATTCTAAAATATCGCCTACCATAATATAAATAAGCTTGTATCTTTTTGGAATCTCTTAACTTTTTAGCCAGTAGAAGGGCGTGTGGCCCGAAACCTCGCTCGCGTTTATTAAAAAGAAACTCATCTTCCTTCTTGCTTTATTTTACTTGATTATCTAAACAGGAAGATTATATAAAAGGGCGTACCTGGATCTGTAAAGAAAAAAAAAAAAAAATTTTTTTCTTAAAATATTTCGAGAGATTGCTCCTTATTTATCAATTTATTGCAGAGTGAATTTAATTTACAAATTATTGTACATCATATGAAAACAAATTTGTCATTGGTCAAAAATAATTATTGATAATGATACATTAAAAAAAAAAGGAAGAGTTCTATCGCTTATATATAAATTTATTTAATAAAATCATCCAGGGCCAGGTTTGTTTAACTATTTTTATTTTTCTGGCTTTCAGGACAATATGCTCTTCAGCGGGAGAATTAGAAGTATGACTTCTCGATAACTATTTCCAGCTATTTTAGGCATGTATAATTGGCTGGAAGTTCTAGTTCTCCTGCTGAAGGGCATGTTAGCCCGAAAGCTTGAGAAATCTCTCCTTCTTTCTAATCTCCACTTGATCATATTAGGGTATCAAGTTGTGACCTATTGATAGTGTCTGTTTGACAACCATCATGACTGGGTGAAGTAGAATGCCTTTGTCATTAAGACTGGGAGCACTACTCAGTGGCAGGCCGACTTAGCTCCAAAATATATTGGCCGCCTCTGACATGAGGAACAGACCCTATGTACAGCCGCTCCTAACATGGAGTACAAACGCTGCTCATCCTGTATCCCTGGATTAGTAGCCCTTACATGGTACTATCAGCCGGGCCAGCTGAGCCCAGGTTTTTTAGTGAGCTTGTTACTGCTCCCCCTCCTTCTTTTTCATCCAGGCTTGGGACCGGCCAAGGAGGAGTTGTCCATCTTGTAATTTTCATCTTTTAGTTAAGAATAAATCTAAATATTAATGATTTGTTGTAGCTGCTGTGTAATACATTTCACCTTAGTGTATTGTTATTTTATAAAATTTGATATCTTTAAAGTTTGCATTATATGTAAGTGAGGTAATTTTCACAAATTTCTATGTTAGAGTTTCTTAATTTTGTTGGTGCAGGGTCACCGGGCCCAGATTGACCGGTCACTGTACAAGAAACACCTCCAGGCCGAGCTAAAGACCATCCCCAACCTCTACATCTACGAGTCCTCTGTGGATGATCTCATCACAGTCCCCGGATCCTGTAGCGGGGTCAAGCTGGGTGGGTCTGGCAACAGAGAGAGACCTCTTCCCTATTTAAGTCCATCTTTCCTGTATTGTTGTTTCTTATCCCCTTCTGTAAAGAATACACAAACTTAATGAACACAAAGCAATAACGCGCCATCTATACATATAAAATGAAAGGATTTAAAAGCACGAATGTTTCTTTTATACATAATACAAACTTCTACTGCCCTTACTGCGATGAAAAAATATATTGGGAGGGCTTGGCTCATCAGTGGGGAACCCTCCCAGCGGTTTCGCCAATTTAATCCACCAGACCGCTTCTCAGAGCTCTAATACTGTATTGGACGATTCTGCTTATATACACAGCACTGAAGGATGGAATCTCAGAAATGGTTTTCCAGTAAACTATGGACATAAGCTTTTAGGACAGTAGATTTACATTCAAATATTTGCTTCGAGCAATGCTCTTCCGCACAATAAAGACAAGGCTAGTTAGGCATTAACACAAAGCAATAACGCGCCATCTATACATATAAAATGAAAGGATTTAAAAGCACAAACTTAACGAGTCCATTCTCCTTTAGCTGTTTGATGATAAGCAGTGTCCTCTCTGTCCTAAGGTCCTGTTTACTCCATCTAATGCAATTCAACAATTAAAAAGGTTTCCAGGCGTTGGCATCAGGCGGTGTTTTATTCATTCTATATGTTCTCCTGTGGAGATGCCTGGGGGCTTGAAATGGTTTTAAGGTGAAAAGAATCTCATTTCTGGAAACCCTTTTAATTGTTTAATAAATGTGCAGGATATTTAAATCAATTGACATCTAATGCAAGCCAAAATGTGTTCTGGAGCTGCGGGTGCCAAGCTGAATTTTGGACAAGTGGGGTAGATTTTGTTATTATTTTTTATCTTCAATGGCTTGAGAGATGGTCTGTTCTAAATCTTGTTAGTTTTGTTTGGGCTGTTTGAGATTCAGAGCTCCTCCTAGGTCCACTCAACTGTACCAGCTGTGCTTAGGTGGGATCCTCCAGTTCTTGCTTATTTTTGTTTTTAGACTAGCTAGAGGGGTCAAGGCAACCCAACTCAGGAGACACCTCTTTCTTCCTATAGGTCTTCTCTCCCGTAGAATTCTTGGAAACAAACCTTGCTGATGCTACTGACACCTCACCTTGGCTAAGTTCAAGAATCTGTAATTATACAATTATCTACACAAGGTAATAAGACCAAATAAAAAAATAGCGTGTGACATTTTGGTAACATCGTGGTTACCATCATCAGACAAAAGTGCTGAAGTTTTTTCAGCAAAATATTAAGCAAATTCAGTACTTTTGTCTGAAGATGATAACAACGCTGTTACCAAAATATTGCTTACTATTTATTTATTTAGATTTGATCTTATTACCTTGTGTTTATAATCTATAATCCAAATTTTATTATTATTATTTTTTAATAATCCCTAGTACACGTGGTACAGGCCATGATAATCATGGTGGGTAGTTAGCGACTGCTTTTTACTGTAAGCGCACAACATGTCTACATATATGAAAAGCAGTTTGACTTTGCACTTACAAATGTGCCAGAGCCCCGTTTGGTTACTTGCACTCGCTGGTGGGGTTGGACTTTTGAAAGAATCGGGGACCATTGGAGCATTTTTTTATTAAATCAGAAAAAAGTGTCCAATGCGGGAATCGAACCCAGGTCGTAGTGGTCGAAAACCAAACGGTTTAACCAGCCTTCCACCGACCCCTATAATCCAAATTGTGCCTTATCAAGCTCTTATAATGTCTCTCTGACTTAACATTGTAACTTGAGAGATAGAATAATTATTTATATACTGTGAATGTCTAGAGAGGTCTAATAAATCCCATAAACAATACTTAACCATTGCTAATTGAATTGCTAATTGCTAATACCATTATTTGTGGCAGGAGATGGCACGGAGATTCCAGCCAACAGTGTGGTCCTGGCCACGGGGACCTTCCTGCGAGGACAGATCAACATCGGCACTCAGACCTTCCCAGCCGGCCGTGCAGGGGACAAACCTGCCATTGCTCTGGCTGAAACCTTAGCACGGGTTGGCTTCACTCTGGGCCGCCTCAAGACAGGTAAACTCACTTTCATTTTGATAATGCACAATTTGGATTATAGGTTAGTAAAACAAGGTAATAAGACCAAATCCAAATATATAAATTGTGTGTGACGTTTTGGTAACAGCATTGTTATCATTATTCAGTATACCAATATACAGTGCATTTGTCTGATGATGGTAACAATGCTGTTATTGATACGTCACACAGGTTATTTATTTGGGTTTGGACCAAATAACCTTATGTTACAGTAGAACTACCTCCCTGTAAAGGACAACACCTAGTTGCAGAGCCAAAATGTCCTTTAGGGAGAGGTGTCCTTTTACCGGAGAGTTGGTAAATAGTAAAAATGGTAATTTTGCAAATGAAAACTGTCCTTTGTAGAGAGGTGTCCACTAAAGGGAGGTTCTACTGTATTTTCATTCTCATAATGTCAAACATAGATACGTATTGTTGCCATGCGATATATCCTAAATATGAATAGCTAATAATACATAGTGGTTATCAACAATGGTTTTCCTGTAATGGACAATCTGGCAACAAATTGGGTGAACAATGGTTGTGTAAGGATGAGTGGAACCAATGACCAAAATACCCACATTGTCAATGAACAAACTGCCTTTGAGCATGGTGTTGTTTAAAGGGATTAGAGAAAAATTGTTTTCAAATAAAAAATGCTTTCATTAAACAAATGTTCAAAATACAATAAAAATAGAGAGAGAGAGAAAACTTCCAGGCTGTTGACGCCATTAGAGATCACAAAGGGACTGCTGGTGTGTTGATTGCCTGTTGTCAATAACTGGGGGAAATTCTAGAGACTGTTGATAAAGCACAATTGGAATATTAACTATACAAGTATCAGAGTCATCAACAATCAATTCTGTCATCGTTTGCTTTTGTGAATGGAATAAATACCCAAATATGGCCATTTCTTATAAGCATCGGTGGTTCAATGGTAGACTGCTCGCCTGCCTGGGCGGCCCAGGTTCGATTCCCGGCTGATGCATTTTTTTTTTTTTACAATTTTTAAAACTCTCATTTATATTATTATCTTATATATAAAAGTCAATGTCCGTTGTCTGTTTCACGATAAACTCAAAAACTACTGAACCAATTGGTACCAAATTTTGCATGTCGCTTTTTATAAACCCGTATTGCTATTCTATGGCACTTCTACCATTTATTATTGATGTTATTTCAGTATGAAGGAAATTGCATTTGGGGGAATTCTCGGGCGAAGCCGGGTCATTCGTCTAGTAGATTATAAACACAAGGTAATAAGACCAAATCCAAATAAATAAATAGTGTGTGACGTTTTGGTAACAGCAGACAAAAGTACTGAATCTTCATCTTCATCATTCGTACTGAATCATTCAGTACTTTTGTCTGAAGATGGTAACAACACTGTTACCGAAATGTCACACACTATTTATTTATTTGTATCTGGTCTTATTACCTTGTGAGTTTCTTTTCAATGAAAAATCAAAATTTATTTCAAGGTGAAATATTGACTATTTATAACCTTTTTGGATGAGGTATGAAAGGGTGAATTATGAAGAGTAATGATGAACGGAAAAATAAAAGTGTTCAGGGATGGGAATGGGTGTAACTTCAAGTGTTGTTTTACAATCACAGGCCGCAGTGCATTATATTGTATTATTACCTTGTGTTTAAAGACTGTTGTTAACAGATAATAGAGTAAATCCGAACAAATAAGAAGAATAAAAAAGGCTACCTGTTCATTTTCCCTAATCCTTCCAATTTCCTTAATCCACTGTACCATACAAGCCTTACAGCCTCTTTTAGATCATTTAAATTTTAAAATACACCGCAGATTTACCAGTTGGTCATTACAAAAACATGTACCAGGCCAAATGGTTAAATATTTTTTAAAGAGAGATTTGCTCATCACAGAGAATAATACAAAACAAGGTAATAAGACCGAATCCAAATAAATAAATAGTGTGTGATGTTTCGGTAACAGCGTTGTTACCATCTTCAGACAAAGGTACTGTGTGTTTATAATCCATAATCCAAATTGTGCCTTATCAGTGTTTATCAACAAAGATTCAAACATTTTTCAAAAGTAATAAGTATCTTTAATGGTCCTTGACACTTGCAGAAGTCCAACCCTACCCAGTGAATGAAATAAATAAACCTTATAAGGCACAATTTGGATTATAGATTATAAACACAAGGTAATAAGACCAAATCTAAATGAATGTATAGTGTGTGACGTTTCGGTAACAGCGTTATTACCATCTTCAGACAAAGTGACAATAACTGATAACTCCATTCAGTACTTTTGTCTGAAGATGGTAACAACACTGTTACCGAAACGTCACACACTATTTATTTATTTGGATTTGGTCTTATTACCTTGTGTTTATAATCTATAATCCAAATTGTGCCTTATCAAGAGAATAATACATTTTAATGCTTTGCATCATATCATATGGGGAAAAAATCATCCAGGAATATTTTTCTAATATAGCTCTTTTTATATCCTATCTCAAGATTTCTGGCTATGACACCCTTCTAGAGGAGTATTATTCACCAAATATAACCTTTTTCTAAGATTATGTTGTTTTTTGTTAGTATGATGCACTATTTTAAAGGCGTAAGATTCTTTTTGAAATTAAACAATTTCTACTGCCCTTACTGCAATGGAAAATTAAAGGGAGGGCCTGGCTCATCAGTGGTGAACCCTCCCATTGGTTTCGCCAATTTAATCTACCATACCGCTGTTATATAGCATTTTTGGAACTTCCTTTTATAGTGATACTGATGGTAGACTCTTGGAATGAGTATTTTAGAAGAACTATGGACATAAGCTTTGAGGACAGCAGAATTACATACATTTATAAATATATTTTTTGTTAGTGTGTTCTTCAAGTCAAGTTTGACATTAGGTGACACTATGTACAAAAATTATACAATTTTCTCTTATGACGTATAGCACACCGTCTGTTATGAATACTCGAAACTATTATAGATGCGTATGATTCTTTTGAAAATTAAACAATTTCTACTGCCCTTACTGTAATGGAAAAATTAAAGGGAGGGTTCACCACTGATGAGCCAGGCCCTCCCTAATTTTTCCATTGTAGTAAGGGCAGTAGAAATTGTTTAATTTTCAAAAGAATCATACGCATCTATAATAGTTTCGAGTATTTATAATTTTCTCTGTTAATGACCATCACTCGAAGATCATCTAGCGACCTTCTGGTTGTTTTCTAGACATCTCATTGAAGGTCTTCCTCTCTTTCATCTTCCTTCAATTTTACCCAACATCAACATCTTTTCTAAACCATTTGTTCCCATTATCTGTCCAAAGTAGGTCAGTCTTTGTTTACATATTTGGGATTCAAGTTTATAGTTAAAACAAGGTAATAAGACCAAATCCAAATAAATAAATAGTGTGTGACGTTTCAGTAACAGCGTTGTTACCATCTTCAGACAAAAGTACTGAAACAACGCTGTTACCGAAATGTCACACAATATTTATTTATTTGGTCTTATTATCTTGTGTTTATAATCTATAATCCAAATTGTGCCTTATCAAGGTTATAGTTAAATCAATAATACTCCAGTAGATGGACATCAAGGCCTCTAAAAGCTTGAGATAGAATATTAGAAGATGTATATACAAGAATCCTATTCCTGGACGATGATTTTTCCCAAATGATGGAAGGGATTAAAATGTATTATTCTCTGTGCTGAGCCATCTCTCCTAAAAATATTTAACCTCTAAGCACAGCTGGTACAGTGGAGTGGACCCAGGAGGAGCTCTGAACCTCAGACAGCACCAAACAATATGATTTAAAACAGGCCATCTCAAGCCATTGAAGATAGAAAATAATAACAAAATCTACCCCACTTGCCCAAAATGTAGCTTGGCACCTGCAGCTCCTTAACATATTTGGCTTGCATTAGATGCACTAAACAGGACCTTTGGGAGAGGCCTCTGCTTATCATCAAACAGCTCGAGGAGCATGAACTCATGGAATTCGTGTAATCTTTACACATGGGGATAAGAAACAACAATATTAAACTTTTGGCCTGGTACATGCTTTTGTAATAACTAACTGGTACATTTTCTGTGTATTTTAGGGTTAAAATGTTCTAAAAAAGACTGTAATGCTAGTATGGTACAGTGAGAGAATTAGGGAAATCTTTAGCACAATAAAAAATAAAGTCCTCTCTTCTTCTTTCTTATCTGAACTCATTCATATCTGGGTGAAGTAGAATGCATCTGCCTTTGTCATTAAGACTGGGAGCACTACTCAGTGGCAGGCCGACTTAACTCCAAAAGAAATGGGCGCCTCTGACATGAGAAACAGATGCCATGTGCAGCCGCTCCTAACATGGAGTACAGACTCATCCTGTATCCCTGGATCAGGAGCCCTTACAGGGTACTATCAGCCGGGCCAGCTGAGCCCAGGTTTTTTAGCGAACTTGTTACTGCTCCCCTTTTTCATCCGGGCTTGGGACCGGCAAAGGCGAGTTAAAATAATAAAGTAATTTAACTCAATTAAAGTAATAATAAGGCACAATTTGGATTATAAATTATAAACACAAGGTAATAAGACCATTATTTATTTGGATTTGGTCTTATTACCTTGTGTCAATTAAAGTAAGTCCAACACATCTCAATGGCTTCTACCAAACTAGGATTAAATATTGTAGTTGTTCTCACACATTCTGATAGACCTCTAGATGCACACACCGGACTGTGTTGTACAGGGACCCCTCCTCGCATTGCAGCCAAGACCATTGACTTCTCCAATTTGGAAGTCTTTTCTGCTGATAATCCCCCGGAGCCTTTCTCCTTCCTCAATTCCTCAGTGTGGATCAAAGTGAGAGAAACATTGTATTAACTTTAACTTACACTCATGGACAAAACTTAAGTTAGTTGTAACTTTTATCATGTATATCGGGATTCAGACAATAACTCTGAAAGATACACTCATGGACAGAACTTAAGTTAGTTGTACCTTTTAGCATGTATATCGGGATTCAGATATTAACTCTGAAAGATACACTCATGGACAAAACTTAAGGACGTTGTACCTTTTAGCATGTATATCGGGATTCAGACAATACCTCTGAAAGATACACTCATGGACAAAACTTAAGTTAGTTGTACCTTTTAGCATGTATATCGGGATTCAGACAATAACTCTGTAAGATATTTGATACACAGTAACCTTTATTGAAGACACACACAATAACCAACTATAAACAAAATTGCCTCTGTCTAATTATAAAAAATAAATAACTGGCGACATCTAAGACTTTCAATTTCCCTAAGTTTTGTCCATGAGTGTAGATTTGCTTTGATCATCTGGACAATATTTAGTTTGAAAATGTTTGGGTGGATGTGCATGGGAACATTTCATATAGAAAGATTGCCATTTTATAAAATCTAACATAAGATCAGTATACAGGGATAGTTATATGGTAGTAGCAGTTCCATAATAAGAGTGACCTTCCTCTCATGATACACAGTGATCTTTATTGAAAACACTTGAGATAACCAACTATCATACGTGTTAAAGATAGTTTAAATTTCTTAAAACAGATGGCAGCACTAATACATCGTATAACCATCTATTAGTAAATTAAATTTTATTGCCCTCTATCGTTAAAATTTTACACAAATAAATTTACTGGCAATGCGTTTCTTTTTTTTTAAATCTCTACAGACCTTACTGCAATGATATGATTTAATGAAAGAGAGGGCTTGGCTCATCAGTAGTGAACCCTCTCAGCGGTTTCGCCAAATTAATCTCTAGACCGCTCTACTATTGTATTGGACCATTGTATAACCATCTATACATATAAAATGAAAGGATTTAAAAGCACAAATTTTTCTTTTATACATAATACAAACTTCTACTGCCCTTACTGCGATGAAAAAATATATTGGGAGAGTTCACCACTGATGCCCTCCCAATATATTTTTTCATCGCAGTAAGGACAGTAGAAGTTTGTATTATGTAT